AGTGCTGGAAATAATGGCCTGTGTGCCTCCCAAATACTGGAGTTAAAGGTGTGTGCCACCACTGCCTGGCTCTGTTTCCATCCCAGACTGCATCAATCTCATATAGCCCAGTGTGGCCTTGAACTCACAGAGATTCGGATGGATCTCTGCCTCTGGAGTGCTAGGATTAAGGATGTGTGCCACCACTGCCTGACCTTTATGTTTAATCTAGTGGCTGGCTCTGACCTCTGATCTTAAGGGGAATTTTATTAGAGTACAACAAAAATCACATCTGTAGCATTCTCACATACCATCTGAAAATGGACTAACACTCCCAAATTGCAGATGTTCAGTTAAAGTTTGCCATCACTTTTAAGAAAAGGGTGAATAGAATTGAAGATAAAAATGGGTATACAAGTGTGATTCCCAAGTGTCCTCTTTTCATGGAGGTGTGGCAATGCTAAGAGTCATTAAGGTGAAGGTTTCAGGAAGAAGAAAAAAATAACTATTGGGGATCTTCTTTATCTTGTGGTTGTTTGACAGTCTTTCTAGCCCTTATCTAGTACCCATCCTAATCTAAGATACACTAGCAGATTCAAGCTTTTTTGTTAGTGAACAATTTAGGTTTCATAAAATAAATACAGGGGAGTTCTCAGCAAAAACTACAAGAGAGCTCTAATAAATAAGGCATACTCTTCATTGTAGCAGTTTTAATTATTGAGCTGACTCGAGAGCTTCTTTGTCTTCCCTCCAGGATCCTGGTCTTGAAGGCTGTTTTATATAGAACCAGAATTCTGTATACAGGTCCAGGTCTCATGTCCAGTTATCAGTCACACCAGGATGGCTTGCACTGGAGGTCCCGGTTGTTTTCCACGTTTGGTTTTTAGAGTCCCTTTATCTTGCATCACCTTCCGTGTTTCCCAGGATTCATACTGCAGGACTCAGATGAACTTCTATCAGCAAGAAGGCTCAAGGCCCCATAGCCATTTCCTCAGATAGACATAGAAGGCAGGGGGATTATGATCCCCACTGCCCATGCAGCCAAGAAAGGCATGCTAGTCTCCCTTCCTCCCAGAACTTCCGGTCTCTACAACTATTCTTCGGGGACCTTCCGCCCTTGGCTAATGGAGCAGAAGCAAATGTTTTGTGATTCTGTCAAAAAATGTATAAAAAGCCTCCTTGAAAATATGCGGTCTTCACCGAGGTAACCCCATGTAAGACCTGGGAAAGACTCAATGGTGCAATATAACAGAACCAATTTAAAGTTCAGTAAGCCATACTGGAGATGTGTCTAGCTTCTTTCAGGAATCTTTCTTAAACAGTATTTTTCTCATTCCTGAACGGCCCTAGAAATCATCTGGAAACTTAAAAGCGAGGAAGGGTGGCTACCACTCAGAGATTGGGGGTTCATTCGTCAGGATTCATATGCCATTTTTAAGGTATTAAAATGAAATGGTACTCAACATAATCACTTTAAACTCTGGGCTTTTATCAGTAATTCTGAGATGCCTTGAAAAATCCAATTTAGCATCCTTTTTATACACTATCTCAAAAAAATAATAGAATGCAAGGCTTTCAGGAATGTTAGGGATGAGAAAAACTAAGATTATTTTGTCCAAATTTATTACTTAGGAAATAATGAACCAGTATTTTCAAAATGACTTTGAGTATTTCTTATAAATAAAACACCCGGGCCTCATTTTCACACCTTCTTAATCAACATCTTTCAAACGGGGATGATGGCTAGAAGTCTGCATCTCAGTCAGCTCTCTTAGTGATCTCAGGAACAATTATATTTGGAGCTATTAATCTGTCACAGATTTTTTTTTACTGCCCTGGCTGCACAATATAATCCCACAGGGACTTTGAAACAGTCATGCTCACTGGAGCAGTGGTATCTACCCTGGATGCATTTGAACCTCATGTCCAGATACCATGCAGTGCCAGTCACACTGGAATCCCTTGCATGTGATTGCACAAGGCATCTGTGATTTTAAAGCTCCCTGGATGATGATAGTATACAGCTGTGATGGTTAATCTTTCCTGTCAACTTGACTCAATCTACAATCATCATAGAAATAAGCCTGGGTGTGTTTGAGGGTATTATTTACAGAGGGTTCCAAAAGAAAAAAAAAATACCTTCTGGATGTGATTGGAGCCATCAATAGAAGGATCCCGGATTGAATAAAAAGAAGGAAGAAAGCGAAATACCAACATTCATGTCTCTATTTCCTGAGACTGCAGACCAATGGGTCCAGCCGTCTTATACTCCTGCACACCAGCCCACACATGGATGCACGTATGAGCACAGACACATACCCCACAAACATGGGAACACATAAGTAAGAAATGTGTCAACTCCCAGGGACAAAGGAGGAAGACAGGTGTGCAAATTGAGATAGAGGGAGAGTATGAACAGATATAACACATGAGTGAACAAAGAGTACTAAAAGGAACACAGGTGTCAGTGAAGACATCCTTGGAAGAGATATTTTTTGAGTTAGGTCTCCCCTACATGTACTAAAACATCCTCCAAATTATGCCTTCTGTATACTTCATCTCTGGGTACATTCTCTCCTGTTTCAGCTATAACTGTATTTAACTCCTTTCAGTTCCTTAAATGACCCATTCCCCTTAATTCAGCCCTCCACCTTCACTGATGCTGTTTGCCTAAAATATTCTTCACCTTTTTTCTGTCTTCACCACCACTACCTCAGCGTTTGCTTGGATGTCACTCCTCTCTGGCCTCCCACAGGATGAAATATGCCTTTGCCAATACACGCCTGGACCCTCTGTTGTGCACTGTTTAAAGAATATGTATCTTTGTGGCATATCTGGGACCCTAAGACAGCACATGCCACAAAAGCAGGAGAAAGGACTATCTCTTCTGTCATGTGTCTCTGTTCGCATACACACAGAAAAAGGTAGCAATACTAAAAGAATGGATTGCATGCCAATGGACAGGAAATGCTATAATGGTGTGACACTCTGTGGCTTGTTTTAGAAAGGAGGAAAAAAAAATGGATTTCCAAAATACAGCCTGGGGGTGGCGGGATTTAGTAATGCAGGAAATGAATTTGATTGCTAAAGCCTTCAATAAACCCCCAAACGACCTGCACTTTCTCCAGTGGGTCATGGAATGTCAGTGAAGTTTTATGTACAAGGGCATAAGAACTAGATTTGTCATTCAGGAGAGCCACCCTGGAAGCAATGCAGTGGGTGGTCTGAAAAGGGAAAGACTAATTTAAAGGAGATCAGTCAGGATATGTTCCAGTACCACAGGTGAGAAATGACGAAGGCTTCCCTGAAATAATGGAGTGGAGAATACCATTCAGAAGGCACTTTTTAGACCGAATCTATAGCACTCGCTGACTAACCACATGTGGGAGTGAGTGTGAAAGATGATGCCACAGTCTAGCTTGGGAGTCAGGCTGCTCGGGGTCCTATTAATGGAAAGATACAATGCAGGAAGAAAAGAGCTGGTTTCAAGGAAAAAAAAATAATGAGGTCGGTTTTAAACATACTGAGTTCTTTGTGCCCATGGGGTCTCTGGGTAGAGTATTTCATGTGCTGGAAATGCATAACATCTCCGCTGGCATTTTATCAATTGTGGATGTGCCTGGTGTTGTCCAATTGACCGTGCCGTCTTCCAGTTTATGTACTACCAGACAGACTTTGGAAACTGACAGTGCCGCATTGATTTCATGATTTGTTTTACTTTGGGCTACAATTGGCAATCAAAATAACTGCTTCAGGGGGAGATTCTAAAATCCCTTCCCAGTATTTTGCTTCAGTTAGATACACACACCCATGCTAAGTTTGCCCAAATTCAGAAGTGTAACAATTTTTCCCATAGGTAACTGTGCTGTCATATATATTTTTTTCTCATTTGATGGTAAATTCCATGATTTCAGAAAGGAAATAGATTATTCTGGATAAGCTTTGTACTACATATAACAGAAATTTAAATTGATAGATGCATGGACATGGACGGATGGATGAACAAATGGATGGATGAATGGATTTGTAATTTTACTACAGTAATATGTAATATTTTCTTTAGCCAGTTGCCTAGGAATTGAAAGCTTAATATCCTACTGTTTAATGCCTAAGTGACTTTTCAGTGGGGTGCTGACTGTAGCAACTGTGTGGGAAGGAATCACTATAAATATTTTTAAATAGGCTTCCATCACATTATTTTCTCTTGGCAACGTGAAATAACCCAAGGATTTAAGCTTTTTTGCTGGCTATGGAAGATAACCTAAGTCTTGATACATTAACCTTAGATATTAATATTTGAGAACTCTCTTGATTGCTGCTCTAGAAGCTCTCTGTAGAAAAGGCTATGATCAGATTTCTGATTAGAAGGCAACATCGTAGAACATACAAGGAAGTTGGAGAATAAACTACGTCAGGCGGGCAGAAAACAGATGAGGAGGACCTAGAACAATGCAACAATGAACAGTGGTGAAATGGAGAAAGTCAGTCAAATCATTTTCTCCATCAAATACTTATAATTAACATCGTACCAGACTACGGGAGCTTTGGCAAACAAACCAGTAAAGTTTCTTCCTTGAAGAGTTTATAAACAAGAAACAAGCTGTACACCAGCCAAATCATTCTGCTAATAACTATAACGTTGCATCTATGATAAATGTCATATAAAAAGAAAAGGCAAACTCAAAAAAAGTTGTAATGGGCACACAGTATTTGAGAAACTGAATTAGAAAGATCTGAAATCCTTAGTGAGCTTAATGCTAAGAAATGCCTTCAAAGATATAAGTAAAAGCTTAATGTTTGGCAAGTTAAAGTGACCTTTGACTAGAAGATGAAACCAATAAGCTCCAAGTTATAACTGATTATATTATATTCAGTTATATTTTGATTCTACAATTAATTCCACCTGATTATCAGTGGGAATGGCATCATCACTCATTTGAAATGATGGCATTTTGCTGATATGATAGTTTATTCTCTGTCTCATGTAAATTGTTTATTTGTTTGTTTTTTCCTCCACTCAGATGTGGCAAGAGCAATCGAACTACTGGAAAAGCTACAAGAATCAGGAGAAGTACCTGTGCACAAGCTACAGTCTCTCAAAAAGGTGCTTCAGAGTGAGTTTTGTACAGCAATCCGAGAGGTAGGACACCAGATTTTTGACAACTACACTTGGCCATATGTCTTCTGGGTAGAAAACACGTTTTGCCATATAAACAGTTGAAATTGTTAAGCTTGGAAGTACATCTTTGCTTGCTGTTTTTAGCTCCTTGGACAGATGATAAAACATAATTTAGTCTGCTGAACGCTTAAATTAGACCCAGGCAGAAATTATACATTTATATAAAACCAAATGTTGATTTTATGATACCAGCACAGGATCTGCTTCCACAGGTGACTGTAGTGTGCTTTCTAAACTACTTAGCAGTCTCATGAAGCGACCTGGAAATTCAAGTACAAATAATCATAATTAATGAGGTGATTTCTTTGGGGTATACCTGAGTAAAACTTTCATAGTTAAATCTGAAAGAGTAACTTCCTACCAGTTGAAGTTATGGTTACTTAAATACAACGTCTAGTGTGATCGTGGAAAAAAAAATCTCCAAATAGGCTGGCAGGCCTTTGTAGCAAATCTGCATAATGCTTCCTAGCTAATCACTGTTTTTGTTAAGTGAGGTTAAAAACAAGTGTGTTCATGTGACAATTTAAATCTCATAAATTGGATTGTGGTAAAATTGACTTACTCAACTGATTAATTTAATTAGTCACAAGAAAATTTCCTTCAGATATAGAAGCTAACTCATTTATTTAGTAACCTACTATACCCTATCTGTCACTCACTAGATAAAAATCCATTAATCAGAACCCAGAGCATATAAATATAGCATAGCTTTTATTTTAAGAGTCACAGCTGATGGATCTTCTATTGGTCTCCTCCTCAAGGCCATGTGAAACCACTGAATACTGGGCAGAATTTGTTTTACCATAGAGCCCATGCCTCTGAAGGACAGATGCACCAGGCTTCCATCTTTTTTTGTAACTCTGCAAGCGATGATGCTGATTTATGGGTCACTGATATAGGCACAAAAGACCTACCTAGTTCACTGCGGCAGAGATGCACATACTCTGTTGATTTAAACCGTAGCCTCTGCAATGCATTTAGGGTTTAGACTTGGTTGGGGGGTTGACTTAGACGGTTTGTGCTCAGTGTTTCTCAGACGAAGTTGTTCACTATTTGCTTTTCGTTTAATACTAAACATAGCTTAAATAAATAACTACAATTACATTTCTGAATTTTCAACCTGTGAGTTGATCAAAAGCTGGAAGGACTAGTTCTATGGCTGCCTTCACCTTAGTACAAAATAGTCTACGGTGCGAGAAACTCATGGACGCCTCTCATATAAACTCCTCTAAACTCATAGAAGCAGCAGCTAAGCTCTCCAGGCTCTTTTTTCCCCCCTTTGGATTGTGTGATCTCTTGAGAATTTGTAGCCAACTTTTCCTTTTTTAGAGATTAAATCATCTCTTCTGTGTCACAGCATTCTGATTTCTGCAGAAGGGACTCAAGGACAAGGCACGTAAAACATTTATCTCTGCTCAGTAACTATCTGGCTCACGATCAATTCCAAGTCTCTGTGGTCACAAAACTTGCACTCTTCATGAAAGAATATGGTGATAAATCAGCTTACAATAGAAAGTCAGAGAGTGATGATGCCATAGACAGGAGAAAACTGGATCAAAACGGTTGGAGCAAGACTATACCAATTTAGGAATGTCAGGGAAAAAAAAAAACTAATTGTATATTGAAAAAAGTCACACGCATCCTGAGGAGGATGGCATTTCAGACACAGCAAACAATGAATGCAAAACCTCAAAGGCAAGAATGGTCTCAAGACAAGAATGACTGCCCCGGAAGGCAGCAAGTCTTCACGGAGTGAGCAAGATTCATTCCCTAGAAGCAGCTGGAGAGCAGGTTCATAGGCCTTTCATAGAGAAAGCTTCATAGGCTGTATGAAAACACCGGACTTTCTTCTCTGTGAGGCTGTCTGGGAGATGTTTGACCAGACCTACTTTGCACTGGGAAAGGTCTCTCCGACTACGGCAAAAGCACAGACACTGCTACAAATGTGAAAGCCGGAGACCAGAAACAAAGTAATAAGGACATTGAGTGAGAGATGGAACAACGTGGCAGCAGTCCAGTCGCAGGAAGTTGTCAAATGCTTCATATATTTCTGAGATGAAAATGAACCGAGATTGTTGATGAATTGAATACACAGCATCTGAGCGATGGAAGTACCCATTGGTTCTTAGTCTGGGTCTTGACAATTGGACAGACATGCATGAAAATGTTATGATGAAGTACATTATTTTATGTAATCAACACATGCTAACACTCAAGAATACAAAAAGATGTTCATAAAAAAGAGAATGCAACTACCTGCATTGTATAAACCTGGACTGGTAGAAGTAATTTTATGTTCACACTAATGTACTTAGTCGTAATTTTGTTCTTGGAGTCAGTACTTATCTTGTCTGACAGTGATGTAGACTCGGTTGCACATCTACAGTCTGCAGTTATCATCATTATTATCTCTGCATTACATTATATGAGCTGTAGGAAGCTATGGCGAAATTGTAACACAACTTTAAAGAGCATTCCAATGAAAATGCCTTCAATGACAATGCATCATGAAATATGAGTATATGCTGCCAGATAGGTGGATCAAAAGCCAATAAAGAAATTGACTCTAGGAAGTCTCACAACGAATATCCAAAAGTGAAATAAGTTTGGGCCAAGAATGCTTTCATTCCTGGCCTCTGTATGGCTGGCAAGGAATAAGGAAATTTTGTTTTTCATTTAAATGATCTTAGGATTTTTGTTGTTAAGTTAACTCATTTTTTCCATAAATATTTGTTACCTGCCATTTAAACTCCATTACATTATAGCTAAAAGTGCAAAACCAGATGTAGGTCATACAACTGCCAATAACATATGATCAAAACAAGAAGGTAGGGTCAGCTTTTATAAATATTGCCTTATATAAATGCAACAATTATTATTGTATGAGGTAATTTCATATTTTGCTATACATGAAATTACTGAATCAACTCTTGGCATATATACAATGCATCCAGGGAAAGAGTTAGATGAAATTTCATGTGTTTTAGGCTAAAAAAATCAATGATGAGAAAATATTGAAAGTTTTCTTAACTATATTTCTGTAATCTGTAATACTGATGTCTGAAAACAATGCATGTTGGGATCAGTACTGAGGGAGGACTACTACCATATACAGCCAGCAAAAGTGTTGTTCTATCAGTAGAACATACAAACTAACATGCCAAGCCACACACAGCATTCAACTTAGCACACTAAACTTAGTTGGTTTTTGTTGTTGTTGACAGATCTTGAAAGAACATGATTGTTGGTTAAACTGTACCCATTCTGTGACTGTAACCTCAGAGCAGGTGACCAAGAAATGGGCTAACATGTGATACTATGTGTCTATAATGTTACATCTATACAGACAGATAAGAGAGTATTCACATACGAGTTTGAAGGAAAGATGAAGTCAAGATTGTATAGCACCGGCTATTTTTGTGATTTTTTTTTTTTAAGTAGCTACAGTGTGTTTTAGCTCTACACTGAATAGTTTGATAAAAGACTAAATTTTAAACTTGAAGCTCAAATTTAATGATTTCAGAATGATAATATTGATGAAATTATTAAGGCCACTCTACATAGTTAAATGGGAGGTTTATTTAGTGGCGTAATTTACAAATGAAGGGATTGGTAGGTTGTAGGTCTAGGGTCTAGGAAAGGCGTAGTGCAGTCCAGCAGTGTTCTCTGGAGGTCTCTGCTCAGTCTACCTCCATTGTCCAGGGTCCAGGGTCCAGGAACCAAGAGAGATGGCACATCCTGATCTCGGGTCTTCAGGGTTCTCCTTTGGCCCCGTCTTGTAGGTGTGACAGTTACCGAAGTCTCAATGGGGGTTGGAACTTCCAGGTCAAGGTTGGAATGGCTACCCACTACATGGCAATGTTTGACTTCAATGTAGCAGGTGATTACAAAGACACAGGCTTTCTCCCCTAATATTGCATGTTCTGTGTGTCAAATAAAGAAAGTAGTGTGTGAATAACCATATTTAAGAGACCATCAATCCATAGTTCTGGGAGGTACTGTATAGGCTACTAGAGAAAAATAATCATCTGTCTCACCCAGCTACAAACCCTGCAAACTGTAATAATGATTTGTCTGCAAAATATGCCCACTGGCACATTGTGGCATGGATGCTAGAGGAGTGATGAACCCCTTTTTCATTGCATTTAAGGCCCACCAAAGCTAGAACTCATACCTTATATCGTTAATAAGATCAAGAACCTGAGACAAAATAGATCACAGGACCAAGGGGGAAACCCACTACTATTATTCTGCTAAATGAAAACAGCAACAAAGTGACTCTGAATGACATATTGCTGTACTCACAGATCCGTGCACCCTACAACCCTGAGCAGAGAAGATTGTGCTCGAAGTGGATGGCAATTAACACAGAGACCCGCAGCTGTTTGATGTAGAAGGAAACCACAGTTTGGGGACATCGCAGGGTTAGTGTGGATAATAACTCACCGAGACTGTGAGAGCATGCACCACTCAAGCCAGACAAAATCCCAGTACCAAAGCAGTGAAGTGGGCACAATGTGCTACTCCTAGTCAAGAAGCTATTCACAAATGATAGCTACTGAGAATTGAAAAGAATCAGTTTTCTTCAGTGGAGTTGCACTAGGTGTACCAGTTGGTCTCCAGGGCAGGCTGGCACAAACAGAACTCCAGGAGTCTCAGCGGCCTTTTCTCTTTGTTTTTGATTTTGCTTTAAGAGAGAGAAAGAACACGAAGTTGGGAGAAGGTAATCTGGCAAAAAAAGAGTATGATAAAAAAAATATACTGTATTAAATTCTCAAATAAAAGAATAATAGAAACTAAACCATTAGCAGGGAGAGGGAGGAAACATTCAATTTCAGTAACTGAATATAAAGAAATTATTTTCATAGGAAAAGTAATCAAAAAACTTAACTAGTAATTTGGTCACTGTGACCATCTTCCAAGTGGTAAAGCATTCAAGCTTCCCACTCCCCAGGATCATG